TCTAATTAAATCTCCTCTCACAACTACTTTAAGATGAGTTCGTTGCAAAAAAAACAAGCCGTTCTTCACAGGTTCCCAAGTGAGAATAAAACTGTGTCAGGCGTGACCGGTGACACATCGGTTCCAGGCTCTTTAATAAGCAGCTTTTATAGGAATCAGATTAGAGAGAAGAAATGGCAAACAGAGGGCACTTCGACACAAACTCTACCTCGTGTGTGTGTGTGTGTGTGTGTGTGTGTGTGTGGTGTCTAGGAGCTGCAGAATCCCAAACACACACACACACACAAAGATATAAACTTAGAAACGCCTCCCTCCTTTTTGAGATTTAATCTAGGCACAGTCAATTTCATCTGACACAAGTGCTCTTCTTCTTCTGTAATTACGGTTTAAAGGCAAGCTTGTGGAAGCAGCCAGCGGTGAAGAGGGGAGCTTCCAAAATAACATATCACACCCTGTTTCTGCGATCCGAATCATAGGCACCGTTTTTATTAGAAATGGCTACATTTGGTCCAAATGTACAATTTAAAATACAATGCTGCTCATTTGGAGGATTATTTATACTGCGAATAATGACTAAAAGAAAACGCATGACTCAGCAGTCGGAAACTCATCGATTTTGCTCTAAATGACAAAAGTTAATATTTTCTCTAACCCTCGCAGGTGCAACGACCGCCTTATCAGCTCCAAGTTACATAACAAACTAAATTTACTCCCACCGGTTTTTGTGAAGCTGCTTTTCTGAAAGGAAAAAAAACAGTACTGCACACAATCGTTTGAAAACATTGTGTATTAAAGGCTGCACATAATACACCACACTATGTATTATGTGCATAGTGTATGTACACACTATGAACAGTCAAAAAGGTGTGTTGATGAAAATGTTGTCAATGAAGAATGTTTTTCTTTTTAATGTTCATTGACAAATTTCCTTTTGCATTCAGAGATGTGAAAGTATTTTGTACTAGCTCAGACTAATGTGAATGCCTGGATTCTCAAAAGATTTTATTTTGTCTAAATATGTACTATTTTAAGGTAAAAGTTTTTATGTTTACTGGTCCTTATTTTGCTCTTTTAGGCCCCCTTGATGCTCTTCAACATTAAATGCTGCTCTTTTTTATTGTTTTTAAAGGGAAATGCCAGCTGATTAGATTTATACCTTGAAAAAAGTATCTTGCAGGAATAAATTATTTATTGCATGATGATTTACATCTACTGTTAGTATTAAACCAGAGACCACCATATACCGTATAACCTCTGTTTGTAAGCATGTTCAGTTAATTAATCTTTTCAAACATTAACAACAGGCAACTTTTATCTAGAACGTACCAACATTAGATGTTTAGTGATACATATATTGAAGTTCAGACTTCAAATTAAATCCAACATTGTTTATGTTTTTCCAAAAATAAGACGAGTACCATTTACTGGTCAGACACTGACTGCTGATAAATACTCCACATGACTCCACTTCAAAAACATAAACTGCCACTTTAAGATATCAAGACTATCTAAATCTTTTCATAATGATATGTAAATTAGAGCATATTTTTGGCACCGTTAATTTCCTGGGCTGTATCCAGCAATCCTGGTCAGAATATCTCAGTTTCTGAGATGCTTTATGTTTTGTTTTGTTTTTTTTGTAACCAATCATTTATTCTTGTGCTGCGAGAATATTTTGTTGCCTAGATACACGCAGATATAAATAAATTTGGCATGAACATTCATAAAGTACCCTTAACTTTTAAGCATTTAAATAGTTGGATGTTGTGTTTGACTGCATAATTCAACTTTTGCGCTCCAATTTCTATGCATTCTACCCTCATGCCCAATATTTTTGTTAATGGCGGAGGCTACATCCTCCAGGCACGTTTCCGCCTGACGACGGAGTGAAACTTTTACAGCGTGGTAAACAGAGCAATGACCTTTGGAGCGGCCAGTGTGCTTTGGTCTGTTTTTTCCGCTCGGCGGTGACGACAGCGCACTCCGTTCTCCCGGGGCGAACTGAACGCCTCTGACCCCGCATCGCTGCTCATCCATTCTTTTCACACCTCCCTTCTCCTTACACGTTCTCACTTCCGCCTACCTCCGTCCTCGCGCGCACGTTCGCCGGGCCTGCGAGCGCTCGCGCTCGACCAGGCGTTGCCGTGGCAACCGCAAAAAAAAAAAAAAAAAAAAGCTCAGCCTCCTCAGCTTCCAGAGAGTACATGCAAAAAGTTCAGGCAGAAAAAAAAAATACATAAATGAATAAATTAAAACGAAAGGTGAGATCAGACAAGCAGAGTTCGACTGCTGGATCAAAGCGGAGTGTGCCTGGGGTGTACGCGATCAGTGTGTGTGTGTGTGTGTGTGTGTGTGTGTGTGTGTGTGTGTGTGTGTGTGTGTGTGTGTGTGTGTGTGTGTGTGTGTGGCTGAGCGACAGGGCTTGGACACAGGAATGCCAGACAGGATGCAGGAAGAGAATTCCAGAAACAGTTGAGTTAACGCAACACAAGCCTTCTAGGTGCCCTTGCAAAGCAGAGACTGGAGACTGAAAGGCGTCTCTAGGGTCCAATTTTCACCTCGACGCGCTCTGATGTCGATGGAAAATCATCTCTAACGCAAAGAAAATTCCCAACTGGGTTTGCCGCTCAACGTTATTTACTCAGGGTCTAATTTTTTTTTATTATTTGTATTGTTTTGGTTAGGTGGAGGCGATGCTGAATTAAAACCCCAGCGCTTTGAGAATGACTTTGTTGGGGAGCGCCATTGTTTGCCTCGACGCCGCTTCCCCTTCGGGTTGCGTGCCAGACTCGAGTGAACTGCCGAGGCTCCATTAGGCCATCTGTGGAGAGTATCGGGAGTAAACACAAGAACAATTGCTGTGTATTCGTAGGACAAACAACATAACCCAGCAATGCTCAAGTGTGGAGCACAAACAAGCGTGGGCAGTTGCTATTTTCATGTGAGAAGGAGAGAAAGAGAGAGAGAGAGAGAAAAATCTTTGAAATACCAGAAACATGAATCCAAATGGAAGTGCCTGCACTGGAAAACCCAAAGCTGTCATTATATTGTTGTTGCGAACTAAGACGAATGTACAGCAGCAGGGGATTCTGCTTTTAAGATTTATTCAATAAACATAATTCCATGAAACCGAGAACACAGCAGTTTCTGCGTCTTTGTTTCTGTTTTCTTTTTTAAGTTTTAAACATCTGGCAGGAGCCAAAACTTTCTCCAGTTCAACATAAAACACCAGCTAAAGTTTGCCCCAATTTATGGGGTAGGCGACTTCTAGAAATGATTTTATGCATCAAATTTTAAAAAAAAAGAAATTCTAGTCCCCTGGGGTTTTTCATGCTTTGCTGAGAAAACACACAACCTCACAGATTCACATTTTCTCTACAGTTTTATAGGGTGAGAATTGAGAGGAAAACAACCTGGAAGAGAAAAATTGGTTGATTTCTCTGCAGGATAATAATGCAACTCTCATCACTGACAGATAAATTACACAAATGAGAGAAACAGCAGATTTTAAAACAAGAGCTTTTTAAAAAAAACTGTAAATCACATGCAGGCCTCTTTAGATTTCTCTTTAATAACCTGGTAGATTGTAACATTTACAAATGTACAATCATAATGATTGTACATAATGTGCTTTTGTTCTTTTATCAATCCAAAAGAGCAAAAAGCAAATCTACTTCTTAAAATCTGAAGCGTCTTCTCAGCAAGGTGATTCCTAAGCGTCTTTTCATCGTTTCATCAGACTCCTACAGCAACAGAGGGAACCGTTTATGGCTCAGTTTGCAGAATATACAATAAAAGAAGCTATAACTGCTTTAATTTAGCGGGGGGTTTTTTTCTGCCCCTCTGAGGATGAGCGTTATTTGGACACGGACAGAAACGGCCTCGGGGGTAAACATCCAGCAAAGCTCAGCGAGGGGCCACAGCTGTCCTCGACTGGAGCGTCTTCTCAAGTGCTTCGAGTGAAACACAGCCACACACACACACACACACACACACACACACACACACACACACACACACACACACACACACACACACACACACACACACACACACACACACACAGAGAGAGAAAATAAAAGAGGACATAAACAAGTGACTGAGGAAAAAGACCATTTTCTCCCATAATGTTTAGCAGGCAAAGATGAAAGGGTGAAACAAGATCAAATAAAGGGATTCATTGTGTGAAGATTAAATAAACAGAACCAAATTATCCCCTGCTGTTTGGGGGCAGTCGACTTGCTGTAGTCGGCAGGATCCGAAGTTTTGTTTCTATTCTCCTGAACTTTACTCTGCTTGTTTTCATTTGACTCAATAATTCACCTGGATGTGTCAGAATCCAGAACATCTTTCATTTGTAGGCGATTCCTCTGTGGAATGGCAATATTTGTTGTACGGGCATTATGGCAACCACCCAGGGTGGCACATGCTCATCGTATTTGTGACCACAATGCAATGAGCATTACTTTTACATATATATTTATATATATATATATATATATGATATAAAAAATACAACTTGTCAAGTGGACCCAAATTGTTCATCACAGTTGTCTATTGGCACTAAAATTTATATCTGAACTGGATTATTTACTCTTAAAGATTCCTTAAAGCACAATTTGAATTTCATAAAATCTTTTCCTTAAGTTATGAAAAAGCTCAGATTGAGATAATGTTGATTAGATATCAACCTGATTATATGTTACTGTAAGGGGCTGGTTCCTTGTGGGGTGGGCTCGTGGGGGCTCAGAGCCATGTGGTTGCCCAAGGCGCCATTTAGGCAACAGCCGCCACTGTCAGAGTGGGTCTCTGTTTCTCAGCAGGATGGATGGAGTTTTCTAACCCTTTCTCCGCACCCCCACCTGGTTCTCACTGGATGAGAACCAGGCTCATCAAAGCTTGATAGGAACCAAGTCTTTGCAATCAGGTGTTTCCCAATTGAAGCAGCCAGCAGGTGGATGCTGTGACATGATGCAGGGACGTTTCTGTATTTGACTCACCTTCTCAGAACTGATGCTCAGCTTCTTCTCCACCTGTTGATGGACTTCTCCATTCCTGTCCGGTACCACCGGGACTGGAGTGAGCTCCCTGGGTGTCTCCTCCTCCTCCTCCTCCTGCTGCTGCTCCTGTTCAGCCTCCTCCACCTCTTCCTCCACCTCCTCCTCGTTTTCCACCTCTGCCACCTTCACATCCCCGTTTTCTGTCCCGTCTGCCTCCGTGTCCTCCTTCTCCATCACCTCCTCCATCACCTCCTCTACCTCCTTCTCTACTTCCACCGCCACCTCCTCGCCTTCCTCCTCCTCCTCCTCCTCCTCCTCCTTCTCCTCCTCCAGAGGTAAGGGGAGACCCTCGGAGACGTACTCCTTCAGACACTTCAAGTTGTGCTTCTTCAGCAGCTGCTCCGTCTCCGGGTCCACCACCACGAGCTCCAGCGGGCCCGCGGTGGCTCGTATCCGGGACACGACCTGCTGGTGGCTCTCGCTCTCCACCTCGTCGCCGTTCACGAACACCAGCCGGTCCCCGGCGCGGAGCCCCGAGGACTCGGCCGGGCTGTCGGGCTCCACCAGGCGGATGAACTGGCCCGTCTTCCCCTTCTCGCCGTGGAGGTGGAAGCCGTAGCCGTTGTCCCCCTTGTGCAGCGTGCAGAGCCGGGGGCGCAGATACTGGCTGTTGCTCTGCATGGTGAGCTCCTCGCTCCAACCTGTTGCTCCCTCTCAGTGGAAGTGGCCGAGACTTCACAGGATGCTGCCGGGGAGGGTGTGTTTGTTTTAGGCTGAGCGGTGTCCCTTAAAAACACCCGGCCCCCGTCCTGCTGGGGAGATAAGTCCGCGAGAGGGGCGGGGAGGGCGGAGGGGACAGAGAGGTGTCCCACTCTCTACTCCCCACTTTTCACACAAGTTACCGCGAGGACGCCTGGTTCGGTCCAATCTGGGATCCTGGATCCGGGTCTGGCGATCAGATCCGAGCCTGATTAAAACCCACTCAGCTGTAAAAGGCGTTTCACTGCTGCTGCAGAAGTGGAAAAGCCACTCAGGAAGAGGGAGGTGCGTTCACGGAGCAGCCCAGCTGCTGCTTTATGCAAAAGGCGGGGAGACGAGTGGACGGGTGAACGCAAACCGAGGCTTTCCAGAAACAGTGGCGGTTCATGCATGAGTGGCGCCCAGGGCAAGCCCTTCCTTTTCCGCCCTATTTGTAAAATACAATACAATATCTATCTATCTATCTATCTATCTATCTATCTATCTATCTATCTATCTATCTATCTATCTATCTATCTATCTATCTATCTATCTATCTATCTATCTATCTATCTATCTATCTATCTATCTATCTATCTATCTATCTATCTATCTATCTATCTATCTATCTATCTATCTATCTATCTATCTATCTATCTATCTATCTATCTATCTATCTATCTATCTATCTATCTATCTATCTATCTATCTATCTATCTATCTATCTATCTATCTATCTATCTATCTATCTATCTATCTATCTATCTATCTATCTATCTATCTATCTATCTATCTATCTATCTATCTATCTATCTATCTATCTATCTATCTATCGGCTAATTTATTCTGCATATTAAATGTTCTTCACCTAATGGACGAGTTATAGCTACACATGTTTACAGAAATCTTTAACAAACAATCTGTTTGAAATGTCACTAATCTACCAAAAACAACAGTTTTCAAAGTGTATAAAAACAGTAGCAGTGATATGCAAAACACTATTAGCTGAAAACTTGGGATTCAGCACATGATTAACTGAGAGATTATGCTTTTTTTCAGCCAGTGTGGGGTTGGATGATTTTTTTTGTTCTTGTTGTTATTTTTATATTTAAAACCCTGGGATGAAAGTTTGAGTTCCTGTGTGTTTTGCCTCAGATTGCTTTGGTAATCATTCAGAAACGTCCAGTCACATTAGAGTGAGCTAGCATTCAGAAAGGATCACTTCTGGGGGAACACAGCAAGTTTCTCTGCTTGCTCTCCATTCAGATAGAGCGTTAGTGCTGCTTTCTTGTGCTTATCAACTGATTCCTGTTTATTTATTGTTTTACAGAAAAGGACAGAAATGCACAAGCTAATTCCTGCATCTGCAGTGTGACTCATGCTATGGATGGATATGAGGGAGCGAGGTGGGAAGCTGAGTGCAGGTGTCAGAGAATCACACGTGTGTGTGTGTATGCGTGTGTGTGTGTGTGTACTCCACCCACTGTAACTTCAAAAACAGGAAAAAAGAAAACCAAAAGAGTAACACACAGTTAGCAAAATCACCACAATCAAAAAAAACATCATTTTAAATTATTTTCTGCTTGTTTACTATTAATTTCAGACTCAAAATTTCTATCATCTGTCCTGCGGTTGTAAATATTTCCTTATTGTGCACAGAGGAGAATTAAAGAGGGAGCTGCTGCCACACTGTGGCTCATTAACCTCAACGCACCCTGCTATTCAGGGGCGGACCCGGACTCCTGTTTCACCAACACACCCCTACACACACACACACACAAAGCGGCACAGACAAGACCGACTTCAATAAGGCAACATCACATACATTACAAAATATACTTTTTATATCTTTTGTACGATAACAAAGCACTTTAATGGCACTTTGTGATCACTGTGACACCTCCGAGGAGGGAGAGAACCAAACATTCATAATGAACAGAGTACAAAGTAATACAGAAGTGGTGCATCAACAAATACAGCTTGGCACAGCCTCGACAACAACATCCATCATTAGAAGAGACACAATAATGATTGGGGAGTTTGGGAATCTGTAGGAGTGTGGTTTTTATTATTATTATTCTTATTAGTCATATGAGGTGAAACTACAGCACCAGTAAGATGTTTGTATGCTCTAAGAAATCTATGAAAGTCCCAGTAAGCTTTCACTTTTAAGGATTTCTTTGAAGCTGTTCCTCCAGAATTGACTGACAGAACAACATGCAACTTAAGGTGGAATAGCTGAAGAATAAGTACAATTCATTTAAATTGATCGGTTTACTGACACTGACCCAGTTTTCAATCCCAGATGGTGAAATGTACAACCGAGTTGGGGTCAGGGGTCATTCCGGCCTCCTTTTCCCGCATCCAAACCCAGTTTTGCTGTGTGTTTGAGATCATTGTGCTGTTGGATCACAAGCTGTGCCCAAGTTTTAACCACATGATCCAAATTCATTAGGATGTTAATAAACAACCCAAGGAACATGGAGGCTTGAGGGCATCACTCCTCACGAGGCCTTTAGACTCTGGAGTGGACCAAGAAGGTGAACAACAAAACACAAAAACGTCAGTCTCAGTTTACTTGGAAATTGGCCCTATGGGGTTCCCGTACACTATGAATGCAACTAGGTTATCCAGTGAACAAAACGGAGGAAATTATATATGACTCAGCTATTTAAGTGATCCAAAACATTAACTCGGTCCTATGATGATGACCAGAAGAGATTTTGGACGAGCTAAAGTAAAACTTTTAACTATTTAAGTGGTGCAGGAAATAATTACGGAGGACGAACCCCAAACTCCTCAACTTTCCTTAAAAGTCAACAACTAGATGGTTCAATTTTGGTAACAGTTTGGTGTTCAAACAAGCCAATGATCCAACACTCACAATAAAACTGGGTTTTAAACAGATAAAGCTGGCTCTAATGAATGTTCTCAAATTACCTTCACCTAAGGAAGTGGCTCTACCTATTGAAAATGTTTGTGTCTCTATGTCGCGAGACACCAAACAGTACTGAACTGTACGTATTCTGATGAGAAAAGAAGACTTATGTTAAGCCAGATTTATACAGGAAGCTTATTTATGGCGCTTACGAATATTTAACCGCTAAAATCTGGATTTTCTGTCCATTTTCTAGAAGCCAATAACTTAATTAGTTCTTCCAAACTACAGGACAGCTTTCGTATTGAAAACTTACTGAAGTCTAAAATTTGACACTATCAAAATAAAGTCTTCTTTCGTGTTGAACGACCAATTCGACACCAAGTGAGTTGGAGAACGACACCGTACATTAAACTTCCAGTTCTTTTCTGAAAAATGATTGAAGTTTAATGTTGGAAAAGTGTCACACGTAGAAAAAGGACGTTCAAAAATATTGTTAAATGCCTAAATAAACGCGACATTAACATCCATGATGAGCGTATGTGAAGTTCTGACTGGATCGGTACATCTACAGCGTCTTGATATGAACGTGCAGACGGACACGAGGTTGGTAATTACCCTCAAAATATTGGCTTTATTCTACCTAACAGCAGTACAGATGAAAACAGATGGGGCCATTTAGCTACAACCTGACTGTGAGCTCTCGACTGAAGATGGAGACTGTAAGGCCAAAAGGATGGGGTTCAGTTCACACAGAGAAAATAAAACCAAATCAAATGCTATATCCACATCAACAGTCGCTTTGATGGCCCATGAAAACCTGCCGCTTGTCAAGGGAGTCCCTGCTGACGGGTATAGCATTTCAGATCGTTACTCCTGATTTGTACTCTGATACAACTGTCACCACAAAGACCACGAACGTTTCTACACATTACACAAACTATTTAAATTCACATTTCAGCAAAGGGATGGCAGTAAGTCCAGATTCGCTTCCACTCAGCCAAAAAGCTCTGCGCAGAAGAACATCCGCCTCTCGGGAGGGATTGTGGGGCGTATGGTTGCTTGGATTGGCTTTTCATAAGAGAGAGCTGACATTTCATCTTTATTCTTTTTTACCTTGACCCCATCTTCAATCCCACCCTTCCTCCCTCCCTCCTTTCTCTACCCTTTATCTCTCTGCGTGGCGTTCAGCTTCTGCTACCCGAGCCTGCAGCAGCCAGACTTGTGCTTCTGAGATTCGATGTAGTCGTGAAGCTTGAACTTGGGCTCATTTGGCAGCTGCGTTGCTCTGTGCTTCAGCTCCCTGACAGAGAAAAGGAGAGGGAGGGAGAGAGGCAGAGACAGGAAGTTAGAAGCAGAGGGGGTGGATGTGTGGGATGGAGCACAGACAGGGCGAACAAATCAAGAATATAAAAAAGAAGGAGGGAGAAAGAAAAGCAGAGGCATTGAGATTTGATCAAAATGCCTCTGGTGGAATATCATTTATCACATCTTGTTCTTCAAACTGACATCACATGGAGACGACACATCGCCTACATTTGAGCCCAAAGGTGGTTTTTAATGTCCAATAAACTCTGTCGAATCACAATCTAATGAAGCCCCACTGGAGACGAAGCTCTTGGTGTGGAATGATTCTCGTCTCCTATGCCAAACAAAACGCCGACACCAAACAACTCGGTTCAAAATGCAGACTGTACAACCGATCACTGTTGCAAGGAGAGGTGAAGTTAGCGCTCCTTAGACAGTATCTATGGTGACCAGTGGTTTGCAGAATCGGCTGGTATTTCTTCATTATAGACATTAGAAGTTATCCGTTTATTTCTCCTGTAAATGTACTAGGTGGTATTTTTTTCACTACTCTACCAAGGTTTCTTTTACATTTTAATTTCACTGTATAGTGAGAGAACCTTTTTTCACCTCATCCTCCAGTAACATGCAGATGAATCAAACATCTCTCAGCTGTAATAAAATGATGACTCATTGATTACTTTTATGGCCTTCAGTTGTGAACATAAACTAAAAACCAGACGCTACTTCTCGACTCCTTCATCTGAGACTCAGACACAAATAAACACCAAATTGCTGATACTGTTTGCATAATTAAAGACCAGAAAATATATTTGTGCATAAAAGCAAACAGGGTTTTCTGCTTTTGGTCTGTTAGGATTACCACAATTGCTTCAAATCTTTCAACAGTTTTGTCAAAGTCAGAAAGGTTCACTCGTTTGCATTGGGTAGAATTGCATTTGGATATATCTCCAAAGTGCTTTGCTGGAATTTTGACCCATTCCTCCAGTGTGAACTGGTGACAGATTCGTGCGTCGTATTTCCATACATACCTTTTCAGCCCTAAATTTTTCCCCTGGGAAAATATTGATATCAGGACTTTAAGATGGCCGCTCTAACATGTTATCCTTCTGCGAGTAATTTGCCAGCAGAGTTTTATTTATTGGCTGTCACTTCATCATTCTTGAGCGTTGGGGAGTGTGCCAGACACCAACACAACATGATACTGCCATTCCCCCGTATTTCACAGCTCTGCAGGCTTGCAAGCTCCTCTGAAGCTTCTTCCAGAAGGAGTTCATCGGGGGTTTTTTTCTTTGGTGTTCATGCTTGCACATAATTGTTTCAGCAGATGAGTGAGGCAACTTTAGGCATCTGAAAATTATGACAAAGGATGAACCAGAGCTGTGGTGGTTCAAATTTTGTTCCGATTTCTTTTATATTTCCCTGTAATGCCCAAAAATAAAAGGCTGTTCAGAGTGTTGCCTTAAAAACATCCAAAGCTGAGCTTCCAAGTGCTTAAAGATGGAGTGATCTCAAGTTTACACAAACCTCTGACTTACAGAAAAAGTAATTAATTGGGGATTTAGAAATATCGTAACACTAACTGACCTAAACCTCATTGTCACACAATAAAGAAAAAAATGGTTGTGTTTTTGTACCAGATATCTGGTTTAGACTGTATGTAGGTAGATTTTACAAGAGTAAACCATTTATAAAAATGAAAGATAGAAATAATATGTCCATACTTGCCTTGTGAGGTTTATTAGATACAGTCAAAAACAATATTCTCATACAGAGTATTGAACATGTCCCGTGGATGAGGAGGACTGGACTGCGCTGGTTTAAATCACATTTGACAGATTGCAGTTTTGTCTTGTTCTAGATAAATCTGATTCACCCAGCAGAGTAACAGTGTTGTGATGAAGCGTCTGCTCCTTACAGATTTCTTCTCTTTTAGATTTTTTTTGTCACACTCAGATGTAAAAAATGATCAAATAACCTTTTATTATCAGACAACAACAACCAGAGTAAATCTAAATTTTAGTTCTAAGATAACAAAGAGGAAATAGTTTTAAAATAAATAATTTAATAAATTTTCAAAATAAATATTATGAAAAAATATTAGTACATAATAAAAAAGCAAATATTAGTATTATATTAATGTTATAATTTTTAAAATAAGTAAATGATTTTAAAATCATTTTAACATTTTAAAATAATCTACAAAGAGGAAAACTGATCCAAACCAACATGACTTTATGCAAAAACATATTTGCCCTCTTGTCAATTAAGAAATTGCTTTGATTGATCGCATATTTGGAATGGTGAATTAAACGTTAAAAGAATCCAGAACAATATCTAAGCACTGCATATTCAACATGTTATCTTTGCTGATCTGCATTTTATTGCCAAGATTTAAATAATTTTTTCTAAATAAATAAATATTTCAAAACAAAGCGCCGTCTTTCTTAGCCATCTATATTGTTTGATGAATAAAAACCCCCCGCAATAAATCAAAATTTTTATTGGTCTGAATGACATTTCCAAACTGAACATGATGTTGTTATGCAGCAAGAGCGAACTGGCTTCGAAACGGAAAAGCGAAGAAAAAATGAGAAATTATTTCATGCCTTTCAGTTTGAAGGACATACACCCAAAGAATAGAAATGACACCATAAACGTCTGACACCAGGTGAGAGTCTCAAACACACACAATCCCGTTAATAGGAGAAACAGCGGCCGACGGCAAGTTAGCTAAGAACCATTACGCTGGATTAGACGATGCTGGAGTCAGACAGGGACGAGACGGCGTCCGCGCACGAAATGCAACAATGAGAATCCCCGCAAGGAACAGCGAGGTCAACTCAGAGAAGGTCAGCCGCGGGCACGAGCGAGATTAAAATACAAATCCCCTAATGCGGAACATGGTCGTCTGACCCACATGAAAAATGATTCTCCATCCATTTAACTTTCATTTTTCCATTATGTGCAGTGAAAGGTGCAAAATTTTTGTGCAATCTGTGGGCAGATTAACTTTGTGACCGCGGGTCATGATGTCGTTCGGAGCTAATGAGGCTTTTGAAGTGAGAAATGCTTCATCTGGTGATAATAAAACAATTTAAAGTCTCCTCAATGATATGCTTTTAATGGAGATTTTTTTATTAGTACTTTAAACAGGGAACCAGGCAGCTTGATTACCTAATCTCATATGATTTCAAGGTTTTATTTCTCATAAGGGTTTTCTGAAACCCCGACCAATTGACTAAATAAAAATAAAAACAAAAAAAATTATACATTTGTAGAACATTTAGCAGTAGATCAGCCATCAAGAAGATCAGATATATATATAATATAATATAGTGTGATGCATCTGACGTGTAGCTTGCAGTAGAAAAGCTCAAGAACAGTAGAAACATTTGATTGTTAAGCGTCTTATCTGAGACCGTTTCCAACTTTAAAAGCAGCCGAGTCCGCAAACGGTGATTCTAATCTCCGACTTAGACTTGGAGCCGCACCGCCTGAGTAAATCCTCTCACTTTTAGTTTTTGCCGTCATGATTTTTAATGCCTCAACTTCGGAAAGTTTTTTGTCACCACTTGATGGCAGCACAGCAAGCTGATTAAGAGAGGGGCGTAATCACTCTTTCAGCAATCACAGAACAAAGGAACAAAATGAGAAACGAGCAGATCTGCTCCTCGTCAGAAACGACACTTTAAACCCAAGACGTTTCTTGGTGGGATTTAGGACTTACTTTGCTATTGCGAGGAAAGCCAGCTCAACGTTGACCCCCGTCTTCGCACTGGTCTCCATGAACGGGACTCCATATTCCTAAAACGGGGAAAAAAAATCATGAGAAGAGCACCGACAGAGTGTTTTCCATGGGAATGTAAGAATTTAGAGGACATCTTCATTACCTTGGCCAGCTTCTCTCCTTCCTCTGTCTTCACCACCCTCTCTGCAGCCATGTCTGACTGTGTGTGAGAGAGAGAGAGAGAAACATGTCGGGGGGTCACAGATTCACCAGAAAATTAGCCACAGTGATGCACCGTCCTGTCAGCCCGCTTATCTGGCTGCAGGGCTGCCTGAGCCGCGGCTCCATCAGGAGTGATGGGATGTCAGCGGCTCCACCCCCAGCAGAAGAGCAGCGCTCGCACAGACCGACGCCGCCAGTCCTGCTGCTTTCAATCTGGGCTGCTGCTATGTGACACCCACGACCCTTTGATGAATCCTCTCTGAACCACCAGAGGGAGCTTTTTAGATAAATTAGCAATGACTGCTGGTTGGGAAGAGAATTTTTCATCTTTAAAGCGATTTTTTCCCCCCTCGCTCTGGGCCGAAGTTATCGCAGAGGTTTAAAGCAAAAGGGGAAAATGCTGAGGGGGCAAGTTATAGAGGCCGTTATGAAGTCATGTTTTTGCTTTTTTATCACACTTTAATGTGTGATGTCAGACAAAGATAACCTGCTTGGATTAAAGAAAGGAGTTTTGAAAACAATGATTGTATTTATTAAGGGGAAATGCCAACCCAAACTAACGTTGGCCTCTGTGATAAAGAAATTGTTTCGATGGTTGTGCCATCCTTCGATGGATTGACTTCCACCAAGTGTTTGTGAGAGTGGAGGAATCATAGCCCACATCTCTTGGCAGAACTGATTTCAATCGTCCACATCTTGAGCATCAGCATTTTGCTTAAGGTCCCACCTCAACGTTTCTATCAGATTCACATCCAGACTTTGACTAGACCACTCCAAACCTTTCTCTTCGGAGGCAATGAAAAGGTTATGGGTTTGATTCCAGTTTCCTCCTCGCTACCATATCCTAAGTTCCCAACTGATCTGTGTCCTGTGTCTAAGCGTGAGTGAATAAAGCACTTTGAGTTGTTAGCATAAACAGAAAAGCATCTTATGAATTTAATCCATTCTCTGTTGAGGTCTCTTAAACAATTCGGTGGACTTGTTGATGTGTTTTGGATGATTGTCTTGCGATATAAACCAAGAAGCTTTGCTGAAAAACTTGTCCTTTCTGGTTCTGACAGCAACAGAACCAGAACCTCACAATGCCTCCATCGTACTTCACGATCAAAATGACTCTGTTAATATGAAAAGGTGCGTTTGTTTTACGTCTGGAGTTTTGGGACGCAAACCGTCCAAAAACATCCACTTTTCTCTCTCCTTGAATACTTTCTAGAAAATCTTGGGAAACATCAGGAAGTTTATAGCAACTAAATATTTGATGTTCACCTTTGAATGCAGATTTTTGCTCAGTCTGTTGTTGCTGACCCATGAACTCTGACCTTACCTGGGGCAGGTGACGCCTGCAGTGCCATGGGTCGTTGCTGTGGATTCTTTAGCCACTCCCTTGATGAGTCGTCGATCCGTCATGGAGTAATTTTGGAAAAGCGGCTTCACCACTGGGAGATGATTTGGTTCCATTTATATGTAACAAACCGAAACCTTGAAAATGGCTTATTGACCCTTTGTTGATTTCTGTTAAATTATTACTCATTTGATCTTAAATGTCTTTATATTGGGGCATGGTGTGTCGCTCTGAGAGTCATCAGACATGAGTCTGATGAGTGAAAATGAACCAAAGAAATGTGTCTGATCACAGCCAATGATATAATAAAGGAAGCAAGTACGTTTTCACAAAGGGCAAAGTATTAATGGTTCGCTTTAATCCCTTAACAAATGAAATTATCCTTGAATATAGTTTTTGATCATTTTTTGTCTGATGTAAACCCGTGTGTTATGAAATGCTTTGTCACAGAGCTGTATTATTGAGAACATTTTCCATGTTTCCCCATGTTTGTGTTGGAATAAGCAAACCACAGTTTGCCTTTATGCATTCATGTCACACTGGAAATATTTTCCACCTTTTAAGGCGTTCACATGTCTGCCTGAATGTGATAAGAGTGTGTTAAAACTGAGCTAAAGAAACCAGTATCCTTCCCATTGTCTAGAAAACACACGCAAAAAAAAAAAAAAAAAAAAAAAAAAAAAGAAAACGAAGCTTTGCTCACCTTGTTGCCGAGCAACATGATGACCACATCCTTCTGGGCATAGTCGAATATTTCAGTCAACCAAGCCTTCGAAAGTACAGAAAGAAAAGGAGATGTAACCAAAACAAACAGGGACCACTTGAAGAATACGCTTTCTTCTTCTTCTCCTCCGGAGCTGTGTTGCGTCGTGAGCTCGCTCTTATCAATCATGCCGACACTGAGTCATTCTTATCCTTGAGCGCTTTTATTGCTTTTCATTACTGAAACTGGGGAGCATGTAGCCAGGCAGACGACAGCGTCGTGTCATTTCTAAATAGGTCTGAGAGGAGAAGTTACAGGCCCAGGTGAGGAGAGATGGAATCGTTCAGCTTGAGATTTAGGAGCAGGAGGAAAAAAATAAAAAATAAGAACAGAGAGGGAAGGATGATAAGGAAAGAAGGTGGAAGGGGCGTCTTACCCTGATGTTATCAAAAGATGGCTTGTTGGTGATATCGTAAAGTAGAAGTAACGCTGCAAAAGATGAGAACAGCAGATTTTACCGTCAGCGCAGGCCTTCATTCATGCGTGAATTTCGGCTGCTCCATCACCGACACGCACACACACACTCTGCATGGAGAAGTGAAATATAAACAGCAAAGGTTACCCTGGGCATCTCTGTAGTAGGCGTGCGTTACGCTGCGGAATCTCTCCTGACCAGCTGTGTCCCAGATCTGCAGAACAAGCGGCACAATTACACAGCGTCCGACACGGAAAGACCTCCCAGCTAATCCCAACCAGCCCACGGACGAAGCAGCACCATGGAATATTAATGAACTACAAACACAGTACAAAGACAGCACGGATTATAGTCTGAGGATATTGTTTTTTACTAAATATAATCTGACCTGCAGACTGCTGAATAAAAATACCACATAAAGGGTTTCTTAACTTTGGCGTAGTGCTTAGCAGAAGTTTTTATGCCCCTTGATTTTTTTTTTTTTTAAATCATTACCACAAGCCTCAGCAGTCTTTGTGTTTGGAAAGATTCTCAATTACATTTCAGTCTGAACTTTGACTAGACCATTTCAAAAGTAGAATATTCTTTGATTTAAACCATCTGACGACTGCTGGAACATAAAACATGTAACTCCCTAATAGTTTGTCATTTCTAATATCTGAAGTTTTACCTGTAGATGTATTTTCTTTTCACCATCTAATATTTTTTGCTTATTTCCCATGTATTCAAGTGTATGGGAAAAAAGCATATTCCACTAAATAACATCATTTAAGGTGAAACTGAACTTGAACGTAAAAGCACGCACAAATGTTGCAATACGTCAAATATGTCTGAAAAAGAAAACGGGATTTTCTGCCAAGTTAATAATTACTTTCAAACTAAAGAATTGATTTCTAAAAATTTAATTTGTGAGATTCCGCAATGAAAGATAATTTGTTTTATGGTTTGTAGATCAAAAGTAAACTTCATCCTGAAATATTAATTCAGTCTGAATGTTTCAGTAAGAGGAATTCTAGCTGACTAATCCAAATAAAATAAACATTTATTTAATTTATTCCTTAATCTGTTTGAGAATAGCCACCAAGGCTGCCTGACAGTAAACAAAACAAAACGCAACTTGAAATGTTCAAACCGCAGCAAGATAAAATATTTAGTAAAAATAAATAGTTTAGCAGATTAAACTCTAAAACTTTGGTTGGAAATTGAACAAATGAACAAAAGTGACTGTACTGCAGTGATTCATGCATTTTTTGAATCTTCCTCAATGACCCGACCAAGAGATTTTCACAAAGATTAGTGTTAGTGTTTCATAAAGCGGAAGAAATTATAAAACTACTCAAAAAGAAGTTTAAGAAATACCACTGTTTCAAATATAACTTTGAAACATGGTGCCCTTCCTCTTCATTTGACAGACAAGATGAAATGCAGCTTTCATAAAATTAACATGATCTCAGACTTAAAATGTCAGACATTTTATTCTAGCTTTATTTTTTAAAAACAACATTTTAATAGATATCTTTTCTTTTTTTTTTTTTACCTAAACCACAGCTGTTATTAATACCAATACCATTATTTAATGGTAAAATGAATGTATCTAAAGTATTTAAAGTTTTCCAAAATAAACTTTACATTGTACATTAAGCATTAGTGATTTATCACTTCTAGTTTCACTTCGGTATGAATAAAGAGAAACTACAGAGGCCTTTTTTTTTAATTTCTTCAAAATGGGAAATAGAAGAGAACATTCCATTCAAATGATCAAATTACTCACAGGAAAGGAAATTCAGCCTCATTAGAAATTAAAAAGTCAAAGAAAATCTGCGATAAAGAATGAATGAGGAAAATGCCTTTCTGCTAAAATGTGAAGGATTATTTTCATTACATTCTGCTTCCCTGTCCGTCTAAATGATAACACAGGCTTCTTAAGTCTCACTTCCCTTTTGTTCTGCTAAATTTACTGTCAGAATCTATTTATTACCACGCAGAGCAGATACTATGTCATGTGAAAAACGTGTGGAAGAGAAACTGATGATTTTCAGGAGCTACTGAAGGGAGTCTAATTTTGTCACCTCCCACTCAGTGTTGAATGAACGGGTCATGATGAAAAGGGGGGGAGAGTATGCGCCTTGGGTGGAATGGATTAAAAATGGCAGCCGGGCGAACGAGTCTAAAGCACATTTCACCCCGAACTGTTTATTTAGCTCCTGAAACACCTACTGGATGAGTGTTCAGCTTAGGTCACAAATCTATCAGTAAGATGATCTGATAGGAACTGAAAGGTGCAAAAGGATAACAGCGCTCTCACCTGCAGCTTGACTTTCAGGTTGTCAACATCCACCACTTTATTCTGCGGAAACAGGAGGGAGCGGGAGTGAAAGACAATCCGGCATATGTGTGAAAAATGGCACGGAAGCGGCTGACGGGCAGTCACGGCGGGCTAAAAAAGCACAGCGATTCAGCGTGAGGTAGGAGAGACAAGGCAGCTAAAAGTGGCTTTGAATACTGGCAGAGAAAGTAATTTGCAACACCCACACAATAACAAGGTCCCAGGATTAGACTTAATTACAGCAGAGTGAGAAAGGCGGCTGGCAGCATAACAATGGACTCCCCCGTTAATTTCCTGCAGCCCTGTAGGGGTGCCCTCTGATTTCCTGCTGACCCAGGGCAAGTCTGGAAAAGTGTACGACGGCCAAACTGTTGCGGACAGGTGCTTTGAGGAGAGCGGGGATATTCTTAAGCTTGAGGATCTTGTATTATTGTATAGAACCATGGAAATGTTTCACACCCCTTGTGATTTTTCAGGTTTTGTTTAATCACAAACACAAACCTCGATGCATTCTGTTGAGGTTTTATAGACTGGACCAGCCTGTGGTTTTCACTGTTGCTAATACAAGTTGTACAAAACAGTATGGACTTTGACTAGGCCACATGATCTGGATGGTGAACTTCTGTCCCAGCCTCAAATCTTTTAAAGCATCTAAAAATGTTATTTTTCCAAGATCTTCCTGTATTTCACTTTAAACATCTTTCCAGTCACCAGTTTCACTGCAGACATGACAAATGGCCGCCGTGATGGTAGCTTTCTGTCACATGTAGTTTTGGATGTAGGCAAACAGGCCCCAAATCTGGGTGTAGTGATGCACTCAGACATGAACGTTCAGAGACATATAAAGACAGTTACAAAGTCAGCCTTTTAAGTGTCTTTATGTGAAAGGACACATTAAAGGACTAATGTCCCAACAGGATCTAGAGAAACTAAACCACATATTTATCTTTAGTAGCATTGATTATTGCAACAGTGTCTTTGCGGGTGTGTATACAGATACAGCTGAACCAGAACGCTGCTGCTCGGGTTCTGACTAAAACTAGGAAGATAGAGCACATCAGGTGGATTCTAAAGTCCTTAGACTTTAAAATACTTCTGTTAGTTCATAAATCACTGAACGGCTTAGAACCAAAGTACATTATAGACCGGGAGTCACTGTGTCAGCATTTCAGACAACGCTGGTTTTCTGGTTAAGTCTACTCTGCTTCCCCTTTACCAGAATCAAACACGGTAAAGCAGCATTTAGTTTCTATGCCACAAATCTCCTATAAACGTCCAATAAACCTCCAAAAATGATAACGCACCAATTCATTTAAATCAAGATTAAAATCCCACCAGATTAGACTCGCCTGATTAATAACTAGAGCATCAAAAACGTTTCCGTCTTTCCACCTGCCATCGTTCTCCCTTACTCTTTTTCTTGTTTTATTTTCCTCCTAATCACATGAAGCACCTTGTGGCTGAAAACGTGTCATACAAAACCAAACTTCCTTTCCTGCATCTCCTCTAGAGTTATCAAGTGTGGCGCTCCAATCAAGTGTGGATTGCTGTATTTGTCTTTTTGCCTAACTCCTTTCACATTTGTTCAAAGCTTGCGATGTCGCTTTGTAACCCGGCTCTTCTTTAACTTTCTCCCTGACCTGCCTGCTGTGCTCCTTGGTCTTCCTGATGTTGTTTGTTCTCTGCTGTTCTCTAACAAACCCCCGAGGTCTTCAACGAACAGCTGCATCCTTTTACTAATTACATTACTTCTGATTGCATCGCTTTGAACTGGATTTCGTTTAGCTATCTCAGATTAAAACAGGTTTTAGTGATTTTTATGTGCGACAATTTAAAAAAAAACAAAACATCACAATCAGATTTTAACTGGTGTTGGGTTACCGCAGAAAATCTCGTGAAAAAAAGTGATATAGCTCACGGGTGTGAATTCTTTGTGCGGCGCTGTAAACACACCACGGTTTAGATGCAAACGCTCTGCGCTTTCTCTCAGTCGTCATGACCTCCTGCTACAGTCATGAAACCGGCTGCAGCCAAGAAGCAAAGCAAAAACCACAACAGAAAAAATTATTGCTTACAAGGAGGAAGTGAGGCAAGAAAAATGCACTTCCTGGAGCACCTTATCAGTGACAGGTCATGACTAACAGCCCACAGAAAAAAACCAAAAAAAACCAAACATCCACTTGCTCAACAAGGAACCGCAGCAACAAACTTCCTCAATGACAACGTCGAGCCTAAGTGTGAGCGCCACCACCAGCTGAAGCCTCAGCCTTGGCAGCGGGAACGCAGTTCAACCCTTGCATTAGTTGCCATGGGTTTCCTTTTTTTTCCCCCCTCTTCCTCCCCCAAATTATGACGTGAGAGCAGCCTGCATGCTGAGAAACTGCTACAAGGAAGCGGGCCTAAAATAGACCGGCATGTAAAAGCTGCCAGCCTTGCCTGCCTAACCATGCAAAGAGGACATCCTCAACATATTGACTCAACTGTTTATCTCAAATTGCTTTGTTACCAAGCGGCTTCAGAGCCCTGCTTGTGAACGAGCATGGAGACAGAAAGGTAATTACGCCCTCAGCCACTTTTTTCTCAATGAACGGTGTCGAATAATTATGGTTTTTAATGAATGTAAGCCAGCATCTTTTCCCTCCTCGTCGTCGGAGCGTTTCAGCGGAAACTTGTTGCTTTTGTACAAGCAAAAGTGACATTTTGAGGCATTAAACAGAAAAAAAAGTCAGACACGGACAATGTTCTTTTGTGTCAGCTGAGAGACTAAGCGTCACTTTGGCTAATGCAACACACTTTCCTCTCAGACCGAACACCCCTATACTCGACTTGCCATCATTGCACATGTTTTTCTTTGACAGGAGGCGAAGGAAAGCTTGAGGCCCAGGCGCCTATTTGTCCCCCCCCACTCTTGCACAGACGAGGATGATGCACAGTAGTCATTTGCTTGAAATCCACCACCAGCCGCTGCCTTTGTTCGTATGTGTGGCGTGTCTCTTTGTGCAACAGATGCGTGTGACGAGGTAGGAGCTCAACCGACAGCAGGGTGACTCCTCCAGGGGCCAAGCTGAGCCACGGCCAATCTTTCCAGGAGACAGAGACGTGGGCAGGCATCTGCCAAGACATTTACGAAGCCGTCCAAAGCTCCTAGCAGCACAAGTGGTCTGTGAACTTGACTGATTGGCGAGAGGATTTGTACATTTGGTGCTATCGTCGCAGAGTGACGAAGCATTCCGCATGAAAACAGGCGCTAATTGGGCCGATGGCACTCTTGCCAGGGGATCACTTTTTGTTTTTGTTGATTTTATTAAAGAAAGAAAAATTACCTCATTAAACTTAAAGGTGGAAGCACACACACACAAAAATAACGAGATGGTTCACACAAGTCAGATGTATCGTTTCTCACCCTGAAGTCTATTCCAACGGTGGCTATAAAGTTTCCTCCCAGAAACGCCCCGTCTTTAAAGCGCACCAAGACGCACGTCTTCCCCACCGCAGAGTCTCCGAGCAGCATCACCTAGAGACACCCCGCCAGCAGAGGAGAAGGGTCACAGGTCACATCTGGTCAGTGGAATAAATGTTAGGACACCAGGTTCACATTATCTAAACAGAATCTGAAGCAACTGTGTGGGAAAAAAAAACCCTAAATTGCACAAGTTGGTTTATAACGTCTGGGAGCAGGCATGGGTCAGTTACTGCGATCAAATTATATCAGTGCCTTAAGTAGAGATGCACCGATCTATAGACCGAAGTTTGAAATCAATCAAGTTTTTCTTACACAGCTCTGAAAGGTTAAGATTAAATAGTGAAGAATTTGGATCCTCCCCCCCCCTAGCTATTAAATAAATCCAAACAAAAAACTCACTAATTTTGGTGGAGATGCAATGATCAATCACTCAGATCCATCAGCCAACAGCATGCACTTTGATGCAAGCTTAATAAATAAAATCCGATAACGCTCAGGAACCTGCACTTTGAGGCATTGTTATTCCTTTAGTCAGATTAAAGCTCTTATAAAGAACATAAAGCGGCATTCGAGTACAATAACCCCAGAAAAAATGGTCTGAATCAGCAGGTTTGACCCTAATATTTATCAGATCTTTAAAAAACTTTAAAAATGGGCATCAAAGAGCGTGCTGAGATGAGGTCTGAATAGTGGGAGTTTTTTTTTGGTTGGTGTATTTAACAAGAAAAAAAATATTTTCATTAGTTAGCCTAGTAGCTCAGCAAACTGGCAAGATTTCATCTGTGGTTAATTGATTGGTGCCAAGCAAAAATATCTGTACTTTCAGATAGAAATCAAGAAGACATAGCAACTTTCTAAAATATCCTCTTTCATCCCTTAAAGTTCTTAGAATAAAATACATAGTTTTTGGCCAATAAGGCCATTACAGAAAATAAGGCCATTTTCATCATGTTTTATGATAAAAAGTAACCAGCTGCGCGTCCATTCATCAGTCAGCTGCAAGCTACATGTGCAGATAGCTCGACTAATTAACCATTTTAAACAGGAATTAAATTTCAAGAACTTTAATGCTGATGATACCCACAGCTCAACTAATATTAACATCCATGTTCAAATATCTTTGTAGTAAACAACGTGAACATTTTTATAGTTTACAATCACAAGATAACATCAGTCATGCAGCAATCAATTAGTGAAAAGGTGGAGCAAATACTTCTGAAATATATCTCTGTATTTGAGCCACAGATTTGCCTGAGTGTGGATGACATATTGATATAAAAATGTCTGATCTGAATAATTTTATTTTGGTTCTGATTGAATGGGCTTCCCTGTCCCTGCTGAGGAAAAAGCTTTCCACAGGATGATTCTGCCACCACTGAGCTTCACTGGATGGGTGGTGTGTTCAGGGTGACGTCCTCCACACACAGCATTTTGGATGGAGAAAATGACAACATCCTTTAACATGTTTGTTGTGTCGATCTGAAAGGGGAATTCTTATGACTTTCTAGCAAGAACTACATTGATTATGCCTCTTTTGCACTGAAGTGAGCCGTGAAGTGCGGATCTCTGTAGCTTCCTCAAAGTTACCATGACATCTCTGGGTAAGAAGCCATATATGTCCTGATGCCAATTTGAAACCCGGCTAATTCTTTCTAACAGTGCCTGCCTGGTTTTGCACACGTCGGTGGTTTTAGCTCAACGCGAATTTCCAAAGCTTTGGACATTCTGCTTTCCAAAGCAGAAATTCCTGTAGGCGGCCAAACATGTTTGTTAGATCTACTCGACAACAAGATCTAACAAACATGTTGGACCCCTTGGAGCAAGATAGCTACTACAAAACAAGTTCATGCAGCGTTTACATGTCAAATTTTACATTTAAGGTATCGCAAATTTTGCTTTTGCGCAATTATCATACATGTGTCAGACTAAGAAAGAAATACTTTTGTAAACTTGACTTGATTGAGAATTCTAGTACTCTCGGGCTCCCCCTGTCGGTGTGGAGGGCAGCTGTTCTGTTTGTTAATGCCTCAGCAGCAAAAATAAGTCCTTTTCAGACCATTTTTGCTTCTGTAATTTTTGAGTGAAAAATCAAATAAAAATCAATCAACACGTAAATGTCACAACGAACACGTTGTGTTATTTCAGCAGCATTAGGAAGAAAGCTTTGTTTGTTTGTTTGTTTTTTTTTAACTCTTTGCAATACATATTTTTAAAAATATTTGTGTGATTGTGCAGTGAGAATCTAACACCGATCCATGCCCACAAACTGCCCGCTTTCTAATAAATAATTAGAGAAAATGATGGTATAGCATGCATCTCTCAAAAAACAAAACAAAAACCAACTAATCAACAATAATTGCAACAGCAGGATGAGCCATTATGCAATCATTTCAGTTACATTTGATTAAAATATCACACGTCAGATGAGAGATGCAGAAAGAGATCTCCCACTTGTCTGCTCGAGTCTCCAAGCAAATATCCAGGAGAGAAGCAACAAGTACACCCTTGGAAAATATTTGAATCAGTAAGATTTCCCAACCATCTGCTGGCTGACTTAGTGTTAACGAAGGCAATGATGACAAAAGGGAAACCAATCAGCTGGTAGTTTAAGGTCCCCAGGACTAGCGCACATTCTCCTAAAGCCTGTTTTATTGCGGCGTCAACACCCAGAAAAAAACCCATGCAGAGAAACGACACACTTAAAACGGAAATACGCACCTTGAAGGCAACATCGTAGTACTCGTTAATAGAGGCGCATCTCTCCAACACATATTTTGACGTGCCGTTTTTAGCTTGCTTGTCCGTCAACGACGTCTTTCGCGTGGACATGGCACTTAACCGAGGAGAGCCGGAGCGGCGGCTCCTGTACCTCCGAGACGCGTCCGAGGAAGAGGAAGAGGCGCGCGGTGTCAGAGAGCGATCAGTCCCGGGCTGCGCCGACCTCCGGCCCCTCTGCTCGCATAGTAATGTACAGCACGGACACTTCCTGCAGGGGCGGCGAGATGGGAGAAGAGGAGAAGCGGGGAGAAGGTCACACCTGAACTGTGTCGGGGGCGCACGGCGGAGAAACTTGCGCGGCGGGCGAGCTGAGGCGGCGGCGCGTCTGCATCCAGCAGTCGAGAGCGCGGTAATGACAAGCAGGCGGAAACATTTCTCTGCTTTGGCGAAGCGGCGCGGCGCGGCGCATCCTGGCGTGGGCAGATAATTAGAGCTGTGGCCACAGATGCACTGAAGGACGTCGACGGGTTCGCTTATTTGCGCCGCGTCTCTCTCCCTCTCCCTCCTTTCTTTTCGTTATTGTTGACGCGGAGTTGAGGACGAGAGAGGGGTCAGATTCATCCGACCTGCTACAGGTGGAAAGGTCACAGGGTCACACAACCACCAGAGGGGACGCAGGAAGAGGAGGTGAGAGTTTAACAGCTCAGAGCGCGTGTCTGACCCCCACGGAGCATTTCACTGACTGGACGAGAAAATCTCCTGCCATCAAGTGACTCTCATCTGGACTTCTACCTTTTTTTTTTGGGTCACAGCAGGCAGATGACCGATTACCCCACCTCTTCACTTCACACACATCTGAAATGGTCTCACAGACTCAATTTCCTCAAAGAAGCCCGTGAATGAATCTTTTTTTTTTTTTTTCATGCAGTGTTTGTCTCCCCCTATGGGCGCAATCAGACACCCCGCTGTCCCTTTCTCCTTTTGTGTTAATGACACAGGAGCAGAGATCATTAAAGTTACATAACTAGCATGTATGTGAGCCCCTGACGCCCTGCACGGTCTGAGCCGGCCCCAGGGATAAGCAGAATATGCGGCTGAAAGTCAAGAGCTAAAGTTTCGCAGTCATGTCAGGAAACCAGAGGCTACTTCTCCTGCCTCCACACAACCAAACATCAACCTGATGAAGTCAGAACATTAATGAAAGGACGAAGAGTTCAAGAGCATAGGGGCTTTGTCCAATTTTAGTCTTAGTTCTTGATTGTGGTCCAAACCCTGATGAGTCAACCTCAAAGTCATACAAGTTGAAAAACGTGACAGCTCTTCACCAAACGGAGGCTTCAAAAATGTACATTTTGTTAATTTTGTGCTGAAAACCAGAGCAGAGAAATAATAATAAAACAAAAGAAACAAAAGGACTGGGAGCTGCGTCAGATGTGCAGAATAACCAAAAGCTGCATTTAAACATCTGAACAAGAAAACGTCATTCGAGGCCCTGAGGAGAGCTGGCGAGATCTTTAAAATATGTAGGAACCTGCTTAAGTCACTGAGCAGTTAATTACTAAAATTTATGCTGCACTAAAATGAAATATGATTTACATCGGTAATGACTTGATCTCCTGACACTTGAAATATCGTTTCCTTTCAAATATTGCGTCCTTCCTTTGTAATTTCAACACCTGAAATTGGGATGGCGATTATAATTTTATATACCAGAGAGTAACGCAGATTTTACATTACATGCTCATACATTTTCATTGCACATTCTGTAAAAAAATACTAACAAAACACTTAATAGAAAAAAAAGTTCTCTTCAACTTTAAGGGCAGTTGCCCAGGGCGGTACTCGAAGAGGGAGGCGCTATTCAAGCAAGAACCACTGCTGTATAAAGTCCACCAAACTGGAGAAAAAAGAGCAAACATGGAGACAGAAAAGGTCTGAAATGTTAAAGATGAGAAGAGTTTTGAAGCAGAGAAAAGCGGGAATCAGCCATGGATGAGTGTTTTTTTTTTTTTTTGACTGTGCTGTGAATCAAAAATGACACCTGATGGCTTCACAATAAATGTGATCAAACTCTTCTTCGCCAGCTCTGACTCTAAATCCAACTGGATTAAACACATCAAAGTGTCTTAATTCCCACAACCCCGCCCCTCTTTCTCTTTCTCTGCCAGACAGTTTTTTTTTCCTCACAAACCTTGAATCGCGCACGCTCTTACTGTAAATGCATAAACATATGCTAATACAAAATGGCAAACCAATTTCACAGCACCTCGCTGATTCCTTTCCCTTTCGTTTGTGACGGTCACAGATTTTTCAGTGTCACAGCAGATTAATAACTCCTCAAATACACCCCCACCCCCACACACACACACACCTCTGCCTCGCCCATCAGCTCCCACCTAAAATCTTGTCACAGAGCATAAAATCAGCCCCGTCTGGCACAGCTTTGTTACACGTCTCCCGCAGCTCGCAGCTCGGTGGCATTCATTAGATGCGCTTTCTTGCCAGTGATTTAATCGCAGCACTGAGATTGTTGACCATAATAATTCTCCTCTAACGAACTGTTAAGGAGGGTAATCAATGCAGTGAGAAAAAAAAAAGAAGAAGAAGAAGTGGCATCCCACTCAGGAGAGCGCCACTGATTCATTCAGAGAGGATCTGCTCGGCCGTGCTGTTATGTCACAACTTAAGTACAAACAGCCCAGCGGAGTGACATGTCCTTCTCACTGGGATGGAGTCAACAACATAACAGGAAGGAGGAAAAACACAGACGGTGGGAGTGGAGGGAGGTTGTGTGTGTGTGTTGACTTAAATGCCCACAGTGGAAGTGAATGACCCCGGGATGAACTTGCCCTGGTCAAACTGAACCAGCAGAAAGGTCTTGCCCACGCCGTTGTCTCCCACCAGGATGGTCTGCAGATTGAGTCACACACACAAACACACACCCCCCCACACACACACAGGAGATGTCATGTTCTGCAGCCTCGCGCTGTTTTAATCGCCCGAGGCCGCAGCGCTGTGTGGGCACGCCGAATGGGTTATTGTACGAGTTCGTCATGTGTTGCTCAGTGCGCTGCCCGCCGCTGTCTGATGCTTTGTGACAGCTGGAGGTTGGCTCGGTGTCTTCAGGAGGGAAGGTCGGCGCTGCCGCGAAGGCTGGACCTGCTTCGCAGCGAGCTGGAAGGTCAGAAAGAAGGAAATCTCCCCGAGGGGAAAATGGAGAAGTTCTCCTCCGTTATCCTTCTGCTCTGTGCAAAAGTTTCACAGATCTATGATTTTCTTCCAAACTTTCTGGGACAATCATAGAAGTGATCTTTTAGAGTGCTTCCTTCCTGTTTGGCTTCCAGCTCCCAACAATGTTCAGAGGAATTATTATTTTTTTATTGATTTGTAAAGCCAAATAACTCATTAGGCTCCCAAACAGAGAGGAATATGTGTGTTGCCCCCCAGCCCCTTTTTCCACTGTTACAGGTAGATTTTATTTCTTTGATCTCAACTTGTTCAGTTCCATCATTTTCACACACACACACACACACACACACACACACACACACACACACACACACACACACACACACACCCACACACACACACACACACACACACACACACACACACACACACACACACACACACACACACACACCCACACACACACACACATGCCGTTTTGATTTAGGTCAGGACTTGAGCAGAAAATGATTGAAAAGCTCCCAAGGTCCAAGAAAAATAAAAGAACTGTTCTTCAGTAATCTTATTAAAACTAAGCAGAATAAAAGGTAGAAGTTCACACTGCTACAGTTACAATAGGATGGTTTAATTTAAAGCAGGGACTAATGTCAAAGTGCAGATTAACAATCTGTAACAAGACTTCTGCCTCCTCTTGAGCTACTTTGCAAATGAGTCTGATGTGGTGAAAAACAAACAGCTGAAAACCACATGCAGCTGTATTGACAGCAAAGGAGGTTATGGGAGCACAGATTCAGGCCACTGAATATAAATTCATAACACATTTTACTTTTCTATTCAATGCTTTTCTATAAACATTCTGCTTGACATTCATCGGGTTGGCCTTTGATATTAATCTCCATCCAGCTCAGATTCAGGTCTGAAAGTTCCAGGTTTATTCCAGGTTTCCTCCTCAGCACTGCAGAAAGACTTTTAAAAGTCTTAAAGTCATATAAAGGTTTAGTCCATTTACCAATACTTCATGGATGAATACTTTTGCAAGACTCTGTGTAAAAATGCCTGTCCGCTAATGAACCACGTAAAGCTTAACAATTTGTAAAATATTACAGCTAATTAAAATGTGGGGCTAATGAAAAAGATTTTTTTATTAGACTCTGAGCAATGAATCCTGTCCTCTTCCTCCACCACTTCCTCTGAAAGCCAGCCTCAAACACATTTAGCGGTCCGCAGATCTGAAAGCGCTGCTCCGGATGTGGGCATCAGCTGACCTTTTATCTCTGGTTATTGCCTCTCTCAAGAGCCGGAGCCCCAATAGAGCTACTTGGCAGCAGATGTTTACTTTTATTGTGGAAATTTATCACCTTACAGCCACAGTATTCTCTCTCTCTCTCTCTCTCTTTTTCACCCCACATGCAGGAAGCCTGAGTCTTCTCCTGCTTCTTATCTGCTGCCTGCAAGAGCAAATGTACAGCAGAGACTGACAGCATGCCGGGCTCCACTGCTGGTAATACGCTCGCTTTAATCATCCTCGTGCATGTACGACACGTCGGCTTTGATGTTCCATTAAAAACGGACAAGCTGGCGAAGGTTGGAGTGGATCTAAATTTATTCATTCCATGGGAGTCGCATTCTGCTCGCCTCTTCACTTGCACTTGGGCAATAGAGCGAGAGGCCGTTCATCAAATGCAGAAAGAGGCCGGGAAGATGAATTCATCAGTCAAGACTAAAATGTTGCTAAGTGGACAACAACATCTCCACAAAGAGCTGCAACTTGACCACACTCAAGTAAATGAAGAAATAACAACAACTGGATAATTAATATCATGACATGTCAACAAGCGCACGCACCGCCTCTCAAATGTCTGCGCAGTCCTGTTCAAAATGCCGGGAGACTTTGATACACAATGCCTTTACTTTTTCCACATAAACACTGGCAAGAAGCAAGATGCAACGTCCAAGTTTGCAGAGTGAATTAAATATTTCAAGAGTACCTCATTTTGCAAAGATATCAGTCAGGAGAAGGATAAAAACAAATCCGTCATAATATATAAATACCGCGAGGCACAGTGAAACCTGGTGAATTAAGTTTTTATAGCTGAACATAAGTAAACAATGTCAAAAATGTGTGTATTTAATCAGAAAATGAACGCTTTTACAAAGTCTAAATCAATTTTTTTTATTTGCAGTCTACAGGTCGACATCATTTAGTAGAAGGCAATGGAAAAAAACACCCAAAACCCAAGGCCTTTCAACTTCTAACATTTACACGACGAGCAACATACCTGCACAAAGGAAACATGTGTAGCTATATACTTTGTGCACCAGGAACACTAACTACGATTATTGTTTGTTTGCAGAAATACAAACTAAACTTACTTCTTCATGTGCAGTGGAGATGCTCTGTCAGCTCTGCAGCCGCTTTGCGTTGCAAGCAGCTCAGTCACAGAACCTGCTGCTGCTGAATGAGAGCAGGAAATTGTGATTCCTCCTGAACTACTGCCATTGTTAAAAATGAAAAATGTACC